CCCCCCCCAAGGCCAGCATACCTGAGGCTGTGGTGACTGGCTTCAGGTAATCAGGATGCACCAGGGACAGGAATGGTAAGAAAGGCCCCATCCATGTCAAAAAGGTGTTGGGAAAGGCAGCTACCAGTTGGGACACCCGGACCATCCCCTCTTCACAGGGCTCAATCTGAAGGAGGAAGAGAGTGAGTCCTGGATCAACCACTCAGGAAAGGTTCTTTGGGTAGATGTGATATCTCTTATTAGACCAGCTAAATAGGTGGAAAAAAGGTCTTTGCAAGCTTTCGGGCACAAGCACCCTTCTTCAGGAATTGGGAGACTGCTGTTGTTCTGAGATCTCCACAGTAGAAAAGAAGCTAAAAGTGTGACAAGAAGTCTGAAAATGTAAATAGGTAGAAGTTAGGAAGACAGATGGGGAAAAGTGGAGGGGGCGGTACAATGCAGATGGTAAACTCAGGGGTGTAGGTTATAGTTGTGTTCGTCTAAGGACATAGGCGGACAAGGTTCTTTGGGTAAATCTGATATCTTTTATTAGACCATCTTTTGCAAGAAAGGTGCCAGGAGTGCCCTCGGCTGCAGGTGAACAGCTAGGGGAGATTCTGTCCTAAATCCCTGTTCACACCAGGCTCAAATGGGGCCAGCACCAAGAGGCAAAGGGCAACCAGATATCAGATTTACCCAAAGAACCTTGTCCGCCTATGTCCCCTCCTACCCCTGCAGGCACATTGCCAGCCTCATGCTCACAGGTCCAACAGATTTGGGCTGGCACAGTGAGGAGACTCCCTGCAGGATCCTGCATCATGGTACCTACCATGCCCATGTGTCCCAGCAGCCAGTTGCGGCGCGGGGGCTGGGGGAAGCAGTGCAAACGCTGGCAGTTCACGTAGTATCGGTGGAAGAGGCCCAGGAGCTGCAGAAGTGGGCGGAGGAGCAGTGCCAGTGCAGCCAAGAGCAGGGCAGAGATGGCATAAGTCCAGAACGGGGTCCGCTCCAGGCTGAGCAGCTCCAGCACCTGGTCTGCGAGTGGCAGCATCCTGCAGGCAGAGGCAGGGCACCATTACCAGGAAAGATAGGGCACTATGAGGGGAGCAATGGCACAGGGAAGCCAAGCAGGCCGGGGAGCTCAGCTCCAGAGGGGCTACAGCAGTGCTTCCTGGGAGGAGGGCATCTCCCTAAGGGGACAGCAGCTGTGAGAAGCCTCTTCTGCAGACCTGTGGGACAGGTCTGAACACAGGTCAAGCTTGGGACAGAGAGGCAGAGGCCAAACTGGTGATTTTTGCACCCTGGACAGAGAGGGAGGCAGGGGGAGCGTTGTGCCAAGCACCTCAGAGCAACCGGGCAAGGGATGTGAATGGAGGTAAGCTTTTTGTTTGTTTGTTTTTGTTCCAAGCCAAATCAAGTCCAAATCCATGAGTCAGTCCAGAATCATTAGTGACCATACAACTGGCAAACATCCTCCACCCCCACCAGGGGCTTCAGATATTTCCAAAATCTTTTGGCAGGCATCCTAGGTGCAGGCCCAAGCCCAGAGGCTTGGGGTTCAGATGCCCCTAAGTTTTGCATGCCCTCAGCCATATGGCCACGGAACCAAGCTAGGGAGGAGCCTCCCATTTCCACAAAGTGGGTTTTAAGCCCCAACACCTTGGTGGGTACTAAACCACACCAGAACAGTTATTCCCCGGGGGCTTAACGAAAACTGCCTTCATAGACCCAGATACATGGTGTTTCCCCTGGGTCTTACCTGATGGTGGTTGTTGCTGCTGTCCCCACTCCTGCCACTTTTCTGGGGCGAGCGCCAGGGCAGGCCCTGCACACTCCCTTGCTGGGCTCAGGGCTGGAGCTGGTTCCACACACCTGCCTGGCTGTGGCTGCTGGGCTGTGCGCTGGCACCTCTCCAAACTGGTGCCCCGCTCGTTACAGAGCTGCAGGGAGGGACTGGGCTTGGATCCAGCAGGCTGTGGCTTTGTAGGAGCTCAGCTCACCCCATGGAGCTGCAGCTGCTCCTGAGCCAGCGCACAGCGGCAGCCTGACATCCAGCGCTGCCCGGCTGGGTCCCACGTCTCCTGGCAGGTGCCCGCTCCTCGCAGAGCCCCAGTCAGCGAGGGCGCAGAGCGGGGGTCTCGATAATGTCTCTGTCCCCGCCCCCGGCCCCCCAGCACCTCCAGCCCCGGCCCGGCCCGCCCAGCCCCGGGGCTCGGGAAAGGGGCGGGCTCCCCCGGGCCCACGTGGGCTTGCATCGTGCCAGGTCAGTGACGCTGCTTGGGTCTCAGCAGCGAGCCGGCAAGCAGCCCAACCCCCGGCGGCAGCCACGCGCCTCTGCCGCCGGCTGGACCCTGCCCCCGGCGCTGCTCCCCGCCTGCCAGCGCCCGCCGGGCAGAGCTGCTGGAGGAGCGGCCTCCAAGGGGTCGTTCCCAGCCGGGGGCTGCAACGAGAGCAGCGGTCTGCGGCCCCTTCCTTTAAGCCCCCTGTTAGCACCTGATCTCTGCCGAGGTGAGGCTGCTTGGTCTGTCTCAGCCATGGCAGCTGTGTCCTGCCACCCAGGCTCTGCAAGGAGGCTGTGCTGAAGATCTGGGTAAGGGGACGTGGCGGTTCTGTGTCTGATCCCCATCTGCTCTGGCACTGCTGCCCCTGAAAGTATCATCATGCCCCTTATAAATCCATGGTGCATCCACACCTTGAATACTGCGCCCAGTTCTGGTCCCTGCACCTCAGAAACTATATAGAAGAACAGGCCAAGGTCCAGAGAATGACAACATATGAGGAGAGACTAACCACTCTGGGTCATTCCCATCTGTGTGCTGGAGGGGAAGCAGGGATCTGTGCAAGGGTCTGTAGCCCCGTCCTTTAAGCCCCATATCAGCACTTTATCTCTGCCATGGTGAGGCTACCTGGTTCTGTCTTGGCCATGGGATCTGTCCCCTGGCACCCAGGCTCTGCGAGGACACAGGAGTGGATCCAAAGGGCGTGCACTGGTGCAGTTGCATCAACCTTGGATTTCTGCTCCAGTCAAAGTTTAAAACCAACTGCCTGGCAGTGGCAGCAGCTTTTCTAGTCAGTGCTGAAGGAGTCACTTGACTTCATGGCTCATTATCATCTACCTGACCCCTTCTAAACTCTTCATTCCACAGGTGTTAATGATCCGTTCTTCCTTCTAATCCTCTTGGTGTTCCACCAATCAGGCTAGCTTTTGTTCTGCACTTCTTGTCTGTAGCTGCTCCTACGTTATTTTACAGCCCTGCAGGCTGTTTTTGACTCATTCCAATGAAGTGATATTTGTTTTTGGTTCAAACTTAAACTGAATCATCCAGCCCTAGGCCCCTGGCATATTAGTACAGCTTCTAGTTTATTTTTAACTGGAGACAAATATGTGTTGTGTTACATGTGATGCTGCAGCTCACCATCTGCATCCTCCTTTTCAAAATCCTAGATCCTCCCATGGATGCGGTGTTGATGCCCCCAGGAAAGAGATGTGGTAGCTTTGTGTCCCATTGGCTCTGGCATTGCTGTCCTGAAGCTGGGCACGGCTGGGCTTTCTGTGCCCCTAAAGACAGAGGTGTTGCATGCCAAAACATGGTGGGTTTTTGGGTGCCAGTGGAAGCAGGGCACATTGTTGCGTCACCAAGGAGATGTGAATCCCAGGGCTATCCTGATTCCCTGGCCTCAGCACATGTCCTGTGAAGGCCAGGTACATTGTGCTCCAAATGGTATGAGGGCCACATACTTCTCCACTGACAGCTCAAGCACCCGTAATGCCAAGGGATCTTTGTAGGCACCCATGGGACCCATCAGCCCCAGACAACAGAGCTCCCCTTCACCCCTGACATCCACAGCCCATACTTTCCCAAACAAAGAAGCTCTTTGTCACACACAAGGACTCAAGCCCCCACACAGAGCCCCCTTCCTCACTCAAACATCAGCATACAAACAGGATTGCTGCCCTCTTACAGGTCCCAGTAACACAACCAGGTGCACCACCAGGATCCCCTTCTCAGACAGCCACAGGGTCCCCACCCCGAACACACGACCCCTCTGTTCTCTTCATCGGTCCCAAAGCCCCTTCCCCTCAGATGTCCACAAAGGCTCTGTCCCCTCCCATAGATGACCCTTTTCACACCCAGGCACCTCCAGGCTCCTGCTCACACACAACAGCTCCTCTTTCCCCTCAGATGAAGTCGCTAGCATGCCCCTGCACAACTACTGCCTTCCCCTCCGACACCACTGAGCCCCCATCCCTCGGCACACAACACAGCTCTCTGTTTCAGACCTCAGACACTCACCTCCCATGAAGAGCACCCTGACACATCAGGGGCCTACACAGAGGAGCCCCCCTCCCTCAGGGAGCCAGGGGGCTTCCATCCCCAAGAAAGGGTGCCTGTTTCCTCTCCGATACCCCCATGCTCCCACCCACCCTATGGACATCCCCACTTTCACCCTCTGACACTCACAGGGTCCCCTCTAGACAGCAGAGCTTTCCTTTTCATTTCAAACATCCAAATAGCCCCATCTCTACCACACAGAGGCCCCCACTTTTGCTCTCAGACATCCCCAGAGTCCCCCAGGCACACAACACCCACCCCCTTCCCTCCCAGACCTCCACAAGACCCCTGTCCTCACACATACAACAGCCTCAACCATCCCTCCACACACAACAGCACTCCTTTGCACCTCTGACACCCTCATGAGCCCATCCCTCCCACCAGAGAGGCCTCCACTGTTGCCCTGAGACCCTCACACACCCCCACCTCCCACACTGAACCCCTTGACAAACTTGGGGGGCCCAAAGGCCAAACACAGTAGAGCCTTCCCTCTTTCTCCGACAGCCATGGGGTCTCCACTCCTAACACAGCTGCCCTTTTCCCAGCTCCCTACACAGAGGCCCCCACTTTCACTCCCAGATCCCACAGCATTCCCTCCCCTCCACACAAAAAGAGCCCTCCCTTTTCACCCCAGACCTCCATACCTTCCTACCTCTAGCACAGAGACCCTACTTGCACTCTCAGACTCTCACAGAGACCCCAGTACCCCCGAATTGATCTCCTTTTGACCTTAGGCACCAATAGAGCTCCTCTTTCACTTGCAGGGGGTTCCTCACACACAACAGAGCTCCCCTTTTAATCTCAGATACCCCCATGCTCCCCAAAGGGCCCCCCACTTTCACCCCCAGACACACACCCCTGCACACACAACAGAACCAGCCTTTTCACTGCAGACATTCACAGGTCCCCTCCTTGCCCCCACAAAGATGCCCATGACACACCAGCAGCCCCAACAGCCACGCACAGTGGAGCCCCCGCTTCTCCCTCAGCTGCCACAGGGCCTCCATCGTATACTAAGATTCCTGC